AACTTTAATAAAAATTTATAAATAAATAATTAATAAAGAGTTATTTGAATATTTATTTACATTGTTTCTGATTGTGTGTGTCAATTAATATCTGTGTTTCAGATATCGTGGATCCGGCGACGTGACTTTCACGTTTTAACAAGCTCGATGTTCACATACACGAACGACGAGCGATTTCAAGTACTGCATCCCGAGGGCTCGGACGATTGGACCCTTCAAATAAAATACGTCCAAGAAAGAGACAATGGGACGTACGAGTGTCAGGTAATGTAACTCCCTACATGAACAACCGTACGGGTTAATTGATTCAATGTATTTTAACAAGTGTTTCTCAACTTTTATCGCATGGTCATCATTCTCAGTTGCTCGTTTTATTATTGTCCGCTGTTTCTCTTTTTTTTTTTTTTTTTTTTTTTTTTCGAAGAGTGAAACTGACGAATTACGCTGATAACACACAATTTTTTGCGGTTTATTATTATTAATAAAATTCGCCGTTGGACTCTTTAATATAACTTTAATATAACTTCCAATTTACTATCTTTGGATGTACATTTCTATCTTCAGATCGAATGTATATTTCAATAATTACATGCTACATGAAAGTATATGAGTGTATCATCAAGTGATGTACAGATGCTACGTATATACAGCGGGAGTAATAAATCCTTCTATTAATAATTCCAAACATCACTAATTATGCGCACCGCAATGTATGCGTCATCAATTTGGCATTAAGTCGGTGTATATTCAATATCTAATGTTACAAAATATTTATCATTGCAAAACATTATTCTCTTTTATACTTTTGTTAATATAATTTTTTGTTAATATAACTGATATTTACAATATTAGTAAATTATTTAAAAGTGAAAAGAAATAATGTTTGTGAATTGTATTATTTTGTTCACATACAGAGACATAAAATAACCTAGTCTAAATTGAAAACGTATCGGACCGTACCGGAAAACGTAACGTACCGGAAAAAAATTTCATGAGGATGCTATAAAAATCACTCTAATGTGAACAGAAAATAATTTCGATGTCCAGTTAATGGCTCCATAATTAGAGGACTAATCCGAAACTAGAGGACTTTTTCGTCGCTAGGAAATATAATTAAGTACGATATTGGGAACACTAACACGTAAATCCGTATGACGTGAGCAATATGGGTAAACCGTCTTCTTGCTGCATATTCATACATTTTTCTGGCTAATGGAACGGCAAACACAAGCTCATGGCAAATACGTGCGAGCGCGAAAGAAATCGGACAGCGTGAATAACGAGACATGATGCCCGTTTGCGTTCGCTGTTGAGTAAACTTTGAAAACCTGTAGCAGTCTCTGACCTTTCTAAAGTTTCTCCGGTGAAGGTCTAAGTTTGAGATAGCAAAGACGGTCTTTTATGTTAATTTTGGGGTGCGAATATAGCCACAAAACTTTTTCCAATGAACTTAGAAAACCACCGTTTTCGCATTGCTCGCTTTCTCTATCTTGCTTCGAAGTTCGAGAAACACCTCCGGCTCGTTGTCGTAACCAGCGATCTTTAAAGACTTTAATTAATTATCGGCAAGTGAGTAAAAGATAGAACATTATCCTTTGAGCTCTATATATTTTTTGCGAAAATATTTCAAAATCAATCATCAAATTCTCAATCATAAAGATCATAAAGTCGGAATTCATTTAAGAATATAAAGCAGAATGAAATATCTGTAATAAAGTAGAATAAAATATCTGTAATAATAGATACAGATATTGTATTTAATACATTGGAAGAAATGAAATGATACATAAAACGATTAACAACAAAATCCATTTATTATAAAATAACGTTATAATTAAATGATACAATAATGGAAATTAATAAGTATTCAATGTACAACGTAATATTAAAAGCCGATTACATCATTGAAATTTAGATTGTACTTTTAGACAATAATATAATTATAATGAAGCTAATGAATATTATATAATAGATTGGTGCTAGTTACACTTAAATAATTTGTCTATAATGACTTAATCGGAATACAAATTTACGTTATTGTACAGAAATTTTTATTTTTATTCATTAATAGTACTTTATTTTGAAGCTTTTTCATTTTATGGTCAGGCATCCAGAAATAACTCGAACAGTTAATTAACTATTATTATATATTAAAGTTTATTTAAGATTATAACGAATTATTTGAATGATATAGCACTTGTTAATCGACACTGGTATGAACCTGATGTCCAACTTTATCAAAAATAAAATGGATACTATAACGCTTTTGTAATCGGCAAAGAATTGATTTTGAAAATAAATGAATGTCTACCAACTATTGCTGAATGACACGGCGTTCCATCTATTTGACCATAGAAAGAGAGAACAGACGAGTGTGGTTGTATGGTTCCAATGCAACTCTCGACACCTCATTATGCAACGAGGTCATTGAGCGTGCAAATCATTGTCACAAGGTCGATAATACGTGGGTGTCTTTCTGACTAACGTGTATATTATAACGCTCGAAATGAGTATCGTCCACACAATGTCCACGACGGTCCATCATTGTGGTTTCTAATTAAAAGTCATGGGGGGATAAACGTCCGAAGCGATTGCTTGTCTCACAATGACGAACCGCATAGTCCGATAACGAATTACTCGTTAATCTTAGCGTGTAACAGTGTCCCAAGTCACATGTATCAGTTATTATACCATGCACTGAATTTCAGTTTCTCATTTCTCGAATCCGAGTAATCGGATCTGTTTATTCCAAATAAAACTAACTATTTAAAGCGACATAAAAATTAATTATAGATAAACTTGCATTATACAGATCATATTGCCATAATTTTCGATATTTTTACGCGAGTAAATCGGAATTTATATTTTATACGAATAAAATTAATTTCATGTGTGTATGTACGTAATAAGGAGAGTGCAAATTGTACTGGATTAAGATAATTGCTTTCTGAAGTTCTTGCTTGAATATGAAGTTTATCGCGATAGAACTTTGATAATTTGACTACTAACATCATATCCTTGATGGAACATGCACTTTTGGAAGAGATCCTTGATTCATTGGACATGAATGTTGTCATTTTTCCTGTTCTTTCCTTTGTAAATTACATTCTCTTTTCATAGATCTTGTCTTCGAATAATGTTTACAAGATCAGATGAATTAAGATGACGCTACGCAACAAAAAACATCAAAGATGGGAAAGTTTCTCGCGAGTTCTCCTATCTCCGTTATTGCCCCAGCAAACATTTTAGCGTGAAAAAGCAGCAGCGTAGCTATCGCAAACGACAGATATAGTGCAGTGACCATTTTATTGCGAACGTCGTGGCAATTAAGTGTAATTGAAGATGGAGCGATGGAAAGCTTTTGGGAGTAATCGAGACCTCACTATTGCGCGCGCGCAACGTCTATAAAAATGTGAGAAAATATGTATGGATAATATGTATTTTCATTGTTTATAATGTATTTTTCATTTTTTTTTTACAAAATTTTATTCAATTAAAATTTAGAGTGTTTATTTTTTTCGTGAAGTTATTCGGCACATAAAAAATATAAATTGTTATTTTATCTAATTTGGAAAATTTAACAGATGAAAATATAATTAAAATTTTATTATATACTACGTGCACGCACATTATGCACGCAAAGTACATTTCATGTATAAAGATTTTAATTTACGTACTTTATTTATGTTTGCTTATTTTTATCCGTAATTTATGCCACTATAATATTTTTTCATAATGAATTTTATATAATATTAAAAAAGTAATAAAATTGTCCAAAAATTGCTGCTCTCGTAAATTTGAATGCTTCTCCACAGTTTTTATCATTTTTATTTTATTGAAAGAATTTACAACAAATTTATCTGAAAGACGCACTGAGATATTTTAACTTCAAACGTCCAACACTTTTGCATTTAATAATTGAGTATACCGAAGAGCCGTTTGCTTATCGCTGGGTAGAACTGTTGAAAAATACGAGACAAAACTGTGCAATAGCGTCTCCAAGCGTCTTCATCGCAATTACATGGACCATGTAAGCCGGAAGTAGCGTTGATATTAAATGCTGGGTTTAATTACACGCCCAACCTTACGATGGCTACAAAAAGAAATTAATTAAGGCAAACCTTGAGTTATTACGTAGTACGTAAGTCAAGGTACTTAACTTTTTACGCGTCTTCGAAGGAGTAATGGAAAACTCGTTTTGCGCTTATCGCAAGCTCCGTCGTAGCCGCAGCTGGCTATGGCTGGGATTGGTTGTACCTACAGCTGCACGGAAAGTGGGTCGCCTGTGAGACATACAACACGAGAAGTCCCTTCGGCGCTGAAGATAAGTACTTTCTCACCTTGGCTCGTGTCGAAGCAAACGCAGTCACGATCGTGGGGCTCGTTAAGCTTTTGAACGAAGTTTGAAGTTTATGCCCGCGCTGCGAAACGCTGGGCTAAACCGAGATTCTGATGGAAGTCAAATTTAGCAGTTAATCTCGAATGAAACCCAGGGCTTTATATTCGACAATACGCTCCGTACGATATCTTACTTCTTTCGGGATTAAAATATGAGCGCTCGCGCTATATTTCATTAATTCGCGAAATTAATCATTAATTACATAATAATTTAGATATCTCATTCGCTCTTTCCATAAATATTAGATTTCTTTTAATTTTATTTGTTTTTATACGAGCTACTTCAGAATATATCGTTATTACTATTAAAGAATACGCAATTCAAATTGAAATAGTATTGTTATACTGCTATTGAAACATTAATTTATTTTAGTATAATAATATAATCTGCAAGTCTAAATAGTAAAAGTACTACTGTGATTTAACATTTTTTTGAAAGATAATTATAGTAATTGTCTATAATTTAGTTAATGTTAACTATTTCGAAGTCAAATCAGGCCACTTAATATCCAGCTATCTACGCATCCTTAATTTTATGCCATTTCAACGAGCGCTAATGCAAAGCCATCATAATCGCAACTTCTTATAGTGGTGAATACATCTCTTAGGGATAAGAACTGCGAAAGTAGCTCAGCAGGATCGTTAAACTCTCAAAAAGATTCATTATTAAGCTTTCAATGCAACAATTTGTCATAATTCATTCAACGAGACTTGTATCCGATACTTATCTGTAAAAATTGATTCATTAGTTTTAGCTTTTCTGGTGTAACGACATGAGTCTAGCATAATATGAGTATTTCTTGCGTTAACTGAAAATGAACGCTTCGACTAATGTGCCGAGTTTAATTGAGCTCGAACCACTGTTG